CACATTTTACACCAGTTGACATACAGTTGAACCATTGACTCTACAATCTAAACAGCCTTGAAAGCAAATGGAATTCTTTGGGGTAATCTATATTATCATTTAGATGTAAACCAACTGGTTGGAAACTTTTGAAATTAACAACTCTCTTTTGGTATTTATTTTACTAATATTAATAGTTACCCCTACTTGTTTTATTCTATGTTCATTCATTCACTCAAGTAAATTTCTATAGTGCCTTTTGAAAAATAAGTCCCTGTGAACTTATCAGGTTTTACCTATTAAAATATTGTGTGAAGGACCGAAGGAAACCCCTTTTTATCAAATAAAAAATATTTCTGTAGGCTAGCTAAATTGCATGTAGCTTTACTCGAAACTTAATAAAATATGTATGAATATTTTGTAAAGTAAAACCCAACGAACTATAGGCCTATTACTGTCGTTGGTAAAACCTATACTGTTGAACAAAAACCATGTTTACATAATGTGCAATCAATTCACAGCTACTAATTTGTTGGCAAATCAGGGGTGCCCATCCCCCCCTAGACTCATGACGCACCCCCCCCCCCAATTGAGCAACAGCCCCCCCCCCCCCCCATAAATGATGTACACAACAAATGAGAAACATTATTCCCCCGCCCAGCACTATTTGTAAAACTATAAAAGAAGTTTTTAATTTTTTTTAGATATTTAAAATTCAAACCCAGTTAATCTATATCAATAAAGTTATAGTTTTGTCTGTACATTGCTCAGAATTATACATATTTTGGGTTATTTATGTTTTATACATTGAAGAAGTTGAAACATGTCTTACTTCCATTTATGTCCGTCTGTCACGGCCCAGAAGGCATGTTATGCAGCCTACTCATGGCCTGCTCTGAAGAAAACTAGAGTACCGATTATGATTCTAATGGTTTAATTGTATCCACAGGATTGGCGAGAGAGTCCTTATAGCCATTAAAATATGGCCTCACTATTTTGGAAATAAAATAACGGACGATCAAAAATACAATTTTGTGTGATTTTTCTAGTTTATTTTCTCCATGTTTACTACATACGTCATTAATTTATGAAATACTACTAATCTGTTAGGAGAACACGTCATATATGAAATTACGAACAGCTGTTTTGATAAAGATTCCTTTTCCTAGCTGTCACTGATATGTTTACATAAATGTTCTTTAAGAATACTGTGTAGGCCCTAACCATTTCCAATCACGTTTGTAAGCAAATCCAAAACCAAGTGAGATTAATAACCGTGTGGCTTTGGCTTACATAACGAGTTTGATTTATCACGAGTACTAATATGTAACTGTAAATTAAATTAAATAACTAGCCATCGTTTTCTGTGCCATCATCCAGGTCGGGAACCGGAGATTCTGTGTGTATCAAGTTGTACTTGAATTTTGATTACAGGGAAAAGACCGTGAATCAGTGTTGTACAGGACTGGAAAACTTATCTTTCTATATAAATAAAATTAGAGTTTTATAAGTCACCTCAATTTAAGGAAGTTTTATTGCCAGAATATCCATAACGAATTGTCAGCGTCTTTCCCTTTAGAAACATCACAGCTCCATTGATGAAAATGAAATGGAAACAACGCTTGCGCCAACAATCGTCTGCTCCGTTAACACTTCTGTCTGCTGTGCGGTATGTTACAACAGATTTCAAATACAGCAGCTGGGGAATGATGACGATATAATGCTTAGTACACTGTGATTGAGTGATAACCATGGTAACTTTAGTAAGGCTGTGTTTGGCCAATGAGCAGGCCTAAATATGGCGACTTGTTGAATTTGTGTATGAATTGAAGAGAACCCTATTAATGAACAGAAGAACAAAGAAAGAGAATAACAAGATTGTTCTCGTTACATTCTTTTTTAAGGGTGTTTTAATTATCTCTAAATATAATTTTACACTTTTTTATTACTGTACTTATCTATCAATTCCTATGCTGTGATACAGCACCTATCGGTAGCCTATCTGTCTATCATGAGCAGTACCTTATAACACTTTCTAAAGGCTCCTTTAATATTTACGTTATTTATAGCAATGTGATGTTTAGCTAGTGATTAGTTGAGTTTGAGTTAGCTACAATTTTAAACGTTGCCGTTTGTACAACTGAACCAAGATAAATGATTTGAAATTTACAATAATAATGATTGTGCAATATTGAATTTCGTTTATAAAAATGTAAATCGTGACTTAATGGCTGTTTACAGCGTTTTAATTAGTTTGTCATCTTTTTTTATACTATAATGGATTAACCGTATTTTTCATTCCGCCCTCTCCCTATTAACTCAGGTAATCGAATATACACAATAGTGTAAAGTATTGTAGCCTATGCTACTTGCTACTTGATTGTATTTTAACGAGCTTTATGTCAACAAAGGTGTAGCTGGACGTGTCTGTACCACGCGTTATCTTTTATGTATCACAGCAGTTGAGCCATCCCGTGCGCTCCCTCTCTTAGATCTCACGTCTTGCTAATCTTAAATAATAACTTTCTACACGAATCCTAAACTATCCTAAAATCCTATTTTAACTAATTTAATTCAATAATATAACTATTGTTATTAATTATCCACTTTCTATCTGCCGATTTCGTAATGTGTTTTGGATTGTCGTCACGTTGAACACTGTTGCAATTAACTTTACCCCCCCCCATTTGAGTTTTTTGAGCCCCCCCCAAGAATTTCAATGACGCAGTCTGCGTCACGGCCCCCCCTTGTGGGCACCCCTGGCAAAGTAATCAAGCCTATTTCAGGCAAATATACTGAACTACAATATTAAATATTAAATACCAAGCTACAATTAAATTCATTTTTCACCGGTGAATTTAACTTAAATAATAAAACTAAAACAAGATTGAGGAATGTCAAATTACAGTGTTGGAAGAACACGGAACTCAACCAAGTGCAGACCCTTTATTGATCAATCAAACCAATGCACAACATTCAGACGTTATGTTGTCTTTCTCTTTTAAGCTCAGTACCGTACCGTTTTATTAAACTTCATAATTTTATAATATTGATTCCAAAACATGGATGCAAATTTGTATCCATTTTGTAGGCTTTTAAGGTTGAAAAAATTCCTCTAAGGCTTGAATTTATAAAATGATGATTACAATAAAAATATCTCTAAAATTGTAACTTTTGACTATTTGTGCTATATAATGTGAATAGTAACACTTACTTACCAGGAATTAACTTAATCTTCATGTTTTTAAATGGTCATATCTTGATAGGTTTGTGTTCAAAAGCTTAAGAGTCCCCGCATATTTTGATTAAAAATGTGTTGAAAATGAGTACCTATTCTTAGTCACAATCAGAAACCTGCAGCATATTTTAAACCAGGGAAGTTTTTAAGTAACACCATTAGTACTTTATATATACAGTGAATATAAAATGAAATGTATATCTGTCTATTTTGTAGATTCAATATGCATTAGGTACCAAATTGTCCATCCTATTGCTATAAAACTTAGATAAATTGTTCGATGTATTTGTGGAAAGTATTATGTATTATTTAATATTTACCATCTTCAGATTCCTTTGGCTTTCAAAACTATCATGTAGGACTTATAAGAACTATTTCATTGACAAATTTCCATGGAAACAACTATAAAATTGTTTATATCTTTAAAATTGATTTAAATCTACTATGTTTACAATCTTAATTACTTTTTGTCTTACAATGTCACACAGCTGGTTAGAATAAATCAAACAGAATATTTTGTAAAACTTAATTTTGTATTGAGATGTCATTGATTAAATATAAACCAAAGAAAGTGATAATGGTTAAATTTTTGATAATGTACTAGATCTTTCTGATGTTTTTGTAACAGATTTAAATGTATTAGTTTTTTAAACATTTTTTTTATATCTCTTTCCCTTCTGACTAAACCCAAGGCGCAAGGTGATCTTTAAAAATCTGAGACAATAATCGAGGGCCGAGATAAGAGATTTGCAGTTTCTGGCCTTGCGGTGCCATCAGTATCAGTATAAAAATTGGTGATTTGTTGTTGCAGGATGAGAATTTAAACTCGCCAACACCGAGCTTAAAATAGTTTAGGAATATATATGTACTAGCTGTACCCGCGGGCTTTGCCCCGTTTAACTTCACAAGTGAGCCCGTTCGCATGGCTCAATCACGTTCTGGTTGAAGTTCGTTTGCTACGCTCACTCACCTTTAGGTTGGAGCTCGTTCGCTCCGCTCACTTGCCTTCAGGTTAGCTCGTTCACTACGCTAACTCGCTTCCAGGTTGAAGTTTGTTCGCTACGCTCACTCACCTTTTGGTTGCAAATTGGCAGTAGTCATAAATTTAAAAAAAATAATAGTGCTGCACCCTGTTGGTAATCCTCTTAAATTTAATGCTATTGAACGTCATAGAACAGAACCAACTTGTTTAATTGAAACAGCTGTTATGAAATTCCTTTTAAATATGAAAAATCATAAGGTTAACATGGGAAACTCCAGAGCCACTGGGGCGGAGCCCGAAAGCCCGATCAGAATAAAAACTTCTTAGTTTTCCTATTTAATGCCCAAAGAATCGGTGTACCGAATTTCAGCCTCCTAGGTAAATGGGAAGTGGGAGAATTAGTGATGAGTGAGTGAGTGAGTGAGTCAGTCAGTGAGGGCTTTGCCTTTTATATATTTAGATATATGTTTTTATTTAAGCTATATATATATATATTATTTTTCATTCAAGCTTCAAGAACTTGAATTCTATTAGATTACTGTAACACTGTTTTTGTAGCTTGAAGTTCTTGAGTAGGTAAGATGTTTGTGCCGCCCTATGTATTTCGTCAGCTTCTGTGGCATCTTCAGGGCTTTTAAGTTGTCTTTTTATCACTAACACTATAGGCTATACCGTATTTACATATTTACGCACAAGCAGTGGCTAGTATCACGGTCGGGTTGATCAGACCGTTAAAGCTGCATTGCCTCAACATTATTTACTTGCAAAACTTGTTGCTAACTGAGTAACTTGTTGTTTCAGGATGGGCAGTTTCAACTCTGCGCCCAAGATCCTGAATGAGGACACGCAGGACGATGACGTGGAGCTGCCTCCTCGCATGACACCTGAGCAGATCCTGAGTCATTGCAGAGCGCAGGTGCCTCCTCCTCCGCTGATAGCCAGGCGCTTCAGGCATCTCCAGCCAGGTGTGTGCAGCCTCACACAATCACACTTCTGTGGTTATCTAGATGATAAGCTTCCACAGCTGATTGTCAAATCTAGGTCTTCGGGTGACAACTGCGTCATTGAATGATTAAGACTATAGGCCAATGTTTCGGATACGTAGCAGCTATTAATCTTCGGGACAAACTACTGTTCAACTCAGTCATAACCCAAAGACCTAGATTTTACATTCTAAAGGTCATTTGTTATGATTTACCAAGGACAGTAGTATATTTTAAATGTTCCCAAATAACGGTAGGTCCTTATGATCAGGTCTGTTTGGTTCAGACTTTGCACTTTCAAAACGTCCACTTGTGTATGACATTTGACAATTGATAGTAGGGGAAAAAACTATTTATAGTAAATCCAACAAAAATATAGTAAATCCTAAATATCTCGACAAATTTGAGGACCCAGATGTTGTCGAGTTTCGAGTAGGCGGGATGAGCATTGATAGGTCAACCATCGATGTTCACCATCATCATCGATGTTAATCAATGCTTTTTTGTCTGCTGTCAGTACTTCCTCAGCTAATTAACCTATTTGCACAGATTATAAATACTCTTGTGCTTGTTAGTCTTTGCTGCTAGCTAGATGTTCTAGATTGGCAGTTTCTCTTTCAAATTTGCAAGACGAAATAGATATCGGTTCGGTATTAATACAGTATATTATGCTGGAGAGCAGGAGTGCTGTCACCGAAATTTATTAATCGTCTGAAGAAAGTTACATATATAAGGTGTAATGTATTTAATGATAGTTGTAGCATGTTATTTTAATTTCACTGAGTTGTTGAAATTGAAGAGAGGTTTAATTATTGTTAATTTTCAGAAACAGACTCAAAATCTCCTTCCAAAACAATAAGGCTTCTGCAATGGAATCTATTATCCCAAGGTATGTATGATTCACGAATGTATATTATGTTTGCATTGTATACTCTTTGCATGTTGCATGTTGGTACCTTTAGTAATTAAATTATTTGTAAAATATACGACTTAACCACACATATTTCCGTATGTATTATTAAAAATGTTTATTTCTATTTGTAAAAATACATTTAAAAAAGGACATTTTTGAAATAATTTGCTTCTTTAAATTAAATTCATAAATGAATAAAATTGGTTAGCAAATAATAAAAACAAGTGTAATCAACTATTTGAATTTACTAAAGAATCTAATCTTATGATCAAGACTTGGGCGTAGAATTCAAAAGAGATTATTTTGTATTTAGCACGAGATTGCAAAATAGGTATTATTCAAAGTAGAAATTGTTATTTGAGGTTGCATGGCTAAAGTGCTTATCTGGCAGATAGCCATAAGTTATGAGGCAGATAAATATGTAAATCATTGAGTAAATTTTAACACAATCATGGCTACTGCTTTGATTTATCTAATCCCTTTTAGTAAAAATGAGGAGGACTCTGTCATTGGACTAAATACATTATTGTTTTAGTTTATAATGTGAAACATAAATTTATAAGAAATTTGTAAGAAATATTACCTTGGGAAATTATTATTTAAATACTGAAATTTAAACAATGTTAGTCAGGGAAAAGTTAACTTAAATATTTTTTTGCAGTTCATTGTAACCATGAACCTACATTTTGTTCATATTCTGAAATCCTCATGGTTGTCAAAAGTGTCCAGCTGTAGGTAACATTTGATAAAAGTATTGATTGGTCCCCATGGCAACAATTGTATTCTGCTACACAGCTAACTTAATTAAACCAAAGAGAATTTTTGTGACACTAAAGCCCATACATGGGCGAGCATGCTCGTGACGGTGTTGGCGGCAAACATGCTCGCTCGTGTGTGGGATCCGCGAGCCTTCGTACCAGCGAAGATGTTGGGCTCGGCGCTCGGCTCGTCGCCATAATATAGTCACCACAAATGGCCACAACAACATTAGCATCCATTTGAATTTAATAAAAATAAATTAATTTAATATTAAATTTAAATAAATAAACACAACTTGACTGTCACAGCTCAAGAGAAGCAAGAGTAGGCCTACTGGGCGGTAGCGGCGAGCATGTTCTCGAGCATGCTCGTCCGTCTGTTGACAACACCGAGCATGTTCGCCAACATGCTTGCGAACATGCTCATCCGTGTATGGGGGGCTTAAAGTTTAGTTTATACAACCAATTATGTGATGGAGTAATTTTATTCAATAAATATAAAAAAAGCACCTATAGTCCCCTTTTTGAAAGATATGATTTTTCAAACAGTGCAATACTAACTGTTCCTCCCACTTAAACAATCTTTCAACAAGTGGCATCCCCATCTTAAATAATTGATAATTGAGAATTAATTGAATTGGTGAGGGAGTTACCAGTCATTCAGCATTATTTTAACAGTTAATTGTTTCCAAAAGCAAGTGCTGTTTCTCTGCTAAAGAATCGCTCTTTTTCAGCTCTGGGTCAAAACAATGACAACTTTGTCTGCTGCCCGGACACTGCCCTGGAGTGGGAGAGAAGAAGACATCTGTTGGCCGAGGAAATCATTCGATACAACCCAGACATCATTTGCCTCCAGGTAATCAAAGTAGTTAATCAACACAAGACTCTTTACTGAACTACTCAGAATCATCAAAGATCATCGGTCCGTGTGATGGTCTTGAGACAATGAAGTACCATAAACATACTATGGGTAATCATTTATTAAAAACCTCCATATATATTTCACTGTAATTTTGCCAAAAGACTGTTTACTTATTCATATAAATAAAAGTCATATGTTTAAATTGTTTGCGTACAGGGACGATTACCGGATTTGTCTGGCTGCTACTTACAAATCAAAATTCTTGATTATTGGAAAATGTATACCCTCCCTTCTAGTATTTTTTTGTACAAGTTTTAGAATCCAGGATTTAGCTTCTCCGAAGTAATCATGTTTTTAGCGAATTTCCCATATAGGGAATAAGCTATTACCGTAGTACTCATGGTAAGACCTGGACGCGGGACCGATTTTTTTTTTTTCCATTTTGAGGTCCCTAGAGACCAAAAACACCATCCGTTCAAATTCATATATATATATATGTGTCCGTCAGCACGATAACTCGAGCAAAAATGATCCGATTTTGATGAAATTTGGTACAAACGTGTAAACGTACGTTTATTCGAACGAGTTCGCGATCCAGCATGATCGGACCATGGGAACGGGGGTTTACGGGGGGTTTTATGGGGTAAAAATAGGTTTTTCCCATTTTTGACCCAAAAAACACAAAATTTCACCATTTCTTTCCAAACCATTTTGTAGAGCTTAAAAAAACAAATAATTTAGTATATTGAAGCGTTGTTATGCGCCTAATGGTTACGGAGAAAATTCCAAAAAATTGTAAATTTAAAATTCCCATGTTATTCTTATGGAGAATAAGTAAACTGTTGTATAGTTTGCTTGTTTGTGAACATATTTTGATCAAATTTGGAAAATGTTTTTATTGCTTACTAACTATTCACATTTTACAAAAAAAAAAAAAAAAAACAGTTTACCCTCCCTGATGCAGCAAACCTAAGTACTTGTTAAACTAATTCTATTTAAATCAAGAATAAATGTTATATTTTTAAGTAGACATTTCAGTGTAAATCCAATCAGTCAAATGGAAATTCGCTTAGTCTGCAGGTTTGCTGCGGCGGGGGTATTGTTGAGGTGCCACAGAGAAGTAAGGTACATCAGAGAAAACCCGCATATGAGACGACCGTGTGCTTTCAGCCCTGGTTGGGCCGAAAATCTTGTGATGAGTAAGGAAGAGTTCTGGCTCCTCCTACCACTCCTACAGAAATTCCTACTGCTCAAAACACAGGGTCTTCCTCCACAATGAGTGTTGTAGTACATGAGGAGGAGGAGGGTGGTGTTGGACTTTTGCGCTAGACACCAGTGACTAGTACTGAACACCACTTTAAGTGTACTATTGAATGTTTCCTCTGTACCTTACTTCTCCGTAGGTACGCTCACATAAATGGTTGTATGTGAATTTTTGTTAAACAAACTATCACAATAATTTTTCTGGCATAAATAGTTAATGTGAGCTAACCTCATGCATCTTCATCTCTATAGTAAATATTTTTTTATATTCGATGACTTATACGTCCCTCCGTTTTCAGGAGGTTGATCACTTCAAGTTTCTTCAGAAAGTGTTGGGAACCCAAGGCTTCAGTGGTACGTTTTTCCCCAAACCAGATTCACCTTGTATGTACATAAAGGGCAACAATGGACCCGACGGTTGCGCCATCTTCTACAACACTGAGAGGTATGAGCTGGTAAAACTGGAGACAAGGATCCTGGAAGTGTGGAGGGTGCAGAGCAACCAGGTAGCTAATACTTCATTTTGAATAATTTTTTTTTTACTTTCAAACGGCTTACCAGACAAAACTGTTATGAATTCAGTCACCGTTGTGTACTAATAATGATGACAGCAAGATATTCACACTGAAATAATCTATGGGAGGGAAGGATCTCAAGAAAGGCAGTTTCTCTAAACCAGTTTGTCCTAAACCTGGAACAAGATGTATTTGAAAAGCTTAACGATAAAAATTCCTTCATTATGAGTAAAACCTCTCTAACTACTTGTCTTTAGTAACTTTTCTTTTTGTTGAAAGTTAAGAGCTATTATGAATAAGAGCACCAATAACTTCTATCTTCTAATTTAAACAATCAGTGGCCTTAGACATTGTAGTATTAGTATACTAAATTGTATAAACCATGAAAAATATGATCTATAAATTTAAGAATATTGAAACTATTTTTTCCATAAATGTTTTTCAACAATTTTGAAATTCAGGTGGCGATCTTAGTGATTCTCCGAGACAAACAGACTGAGGATGAGATCTGCGTAGCCACCACTCATCTCAAGGCCCGTAACGGAGCATTGCTATCAGCGCTGCGCAACGAGCAAGGCAAGGATCTGCTGGAGTTTGTAGCGCAGCATGCTGGCAACCGTCCTGTCATTCTCTCAGGAGATTTCAACGCAGAACCGACGGAACCTATTTACAGTACCGTCCTTTCTCACGATCTGCTCAGGCTATCCAGCGCCTACTACCAGGAGAATGAACCACCTTACACCACCTGGAAAATTAGGTATTGGGAATAACTTGTCTCTTTCTGTTTCTAAAGGTTTTATGTTTTTTCTTCCCATTTGTTCTTTTCCTGTTAATATATCTTCGACTTTTGGTTCATCCTTGGTGGCCCAATGAAAAATGGCATCAGGGTTCCAGATTGATATTTAATTAGATTTTTAACTAAGTAAATTTTCTAATGTAAATTTATTTATACTACCTATATTAGAACCCTAGGGAGTTGATTATGAGGGTTTATTTATTCAGTTTCATTGTAGTTAAAGGTCCAAAGTGGCACAGTTACCAAAGCCATATATGAACATAATTGATCAAATTGAAGCAAGTTAATTTCTTGATTAGCATTTTACAGGGCATTGCTATTGTACAAATATAAGAAATACATCTACCAACACCTTTGAACGTATATCTACACTCATACACACGATATCTACATCATGATCTACACACAATATCTACGTATATCACACTACATAACTATAAAAAAAATCTTGAGCATTGTATAACTTTGACAATCTAAAATCTTTTGTTTTGTTTTGACGCATGTAATATTCTTCCACGAATATGTAAATAAAGAGCATTGTCTATTGTCTATTGTCTATACTGTAAACATTTACAAAACTGTATATGAAGAATGTTACCAAGGCATTCAATTTCAACTAGTCAAACTGGTCATCATCAAATGTATCACACGATGAGTGCAATATGACCACTGAATTAACAGAAAAGGAAAAGAAGCGGTAAGTGTAACTACCTAATTAATTACAATCGTTCCAGTGAATTTTCTATAACAAATTTTACGTTTTTGCAGGGAAGAAGGCGAAGTGTGTCACACCATAGACTACGTGTTCTGCTCCAAGGATCGTCTAAAGCCCGTCACACTTCTCGAATTTCCAACAGGAGAAGAGATAGGCAAAGACCGTATCCCCTCTATGTCTTATCCTTCAGACCACTTTTCTCTAGTTTGTGATCTTCTTCTGAAAGACGCCTCATAATTTTGATTTCTTTATCCACAACAACTTCATTCCATTCTGTCATTTTTTATTTTTTACTGGTTAATGATTTTATGCTGTTTATTTTAAGGTTTTACTTTACATAAGGACACGTCTATTTATATGATATTTCTTTATTTTACTGCACAGATCTTGGATTTATTAATTTAATAATTGGATATAATTTGGATGAGAGGAACAATTATTTTAATAATTGTTTGGTTCATGGTAAACAACGTTTTTCCTATACAAACATTAGCTGTGTTAGTTGTAAAAAAACTTAATCAAATTATTTTAAAAGTTTATATAAATTGTGCCTAAGTAACTTGAAGTGTATCAATTAATTGGCAGTCTTAATGTTTGCTTGAAAAATGACAGAATTGAAGTTTCTCCTCATATGACGACTTTATTTGATGATTATCGAACTATGTTCACTTCTACTTGTGGATAAAGTTCTCAGTATTTCATCACTAACTAGGCTAAGTGTGCCAAATGAGGCAGATTTGTGCCGTTGTTTGTTAATCAGACAAATTTTCCTTGTGTAGATTTGTTTATGTGTAAAGACTGTACAATACTCTAAGATAATGATAGTGTACCAGACTAAATTATAATCGCACAGATTAAAATTTAGTGGGTACAAAAGAGCTGTGATACTAGGATCATCCGTGTTATTTATTGTTTATTATCTGTTAAAGTTCTCAGCACTATTGAGAAGTTATTATTGATGAACTCACCAAAGAAACTATGAACATTTAGTTGCAAATGAACATTATAGCTAGCTTACCATTGTCCGTTCTTCCTTTTCCACTTGCTTCAATTTTCTATGTACTTTAAACGCACTATCACAGGCAAGAAAACCACTGTAAATATTTCTCAGAACCAATCACATTGTATTTCTATCAGCGTTTTCCATTTCAAACTTTTATTTAGTTTGTACTGTAATGTGTTGTGAATATTGTGTCAACTTAATTATAATGAATCTTATTATATTTAATATAAGCTTTACCCTGTATTTCTTATTTTAAAAATCCTAATGATTGTTTTTCTTTGGTAAATTTTTCATTGACGTTTGTAATCTCAAAATTTGTTTCTTCTTTTATTGTAAAAAGACATTTGTTGAATTTGTGTTTTTAATTATTTTATGGAACTTTGGTGGCAGTTGAATGTGCTTTACTAAAGAAGTATTGTTGTATCTTTGTGTACATTATTCCTGCACTATTGAGGACTGTTGTTTCACAAATATAAATGCAATCACTGTTTTAATTGGCCTGATTTATTTAGTCCTATTAGCCTTGCAGTTTAAAGTTGTTTATATTGAACAAGTTTACCTGTGCCTTGCAATGTTCTATGAACTCCGAATGGAACAAATCTTTTGAAGTTGTGACGCTTTTGTAAGTTGAAGTTGTGTCAATATGATAAAGAAAATGTTGACAAATTGAACATTTTGATCTATGGTAGCATAGACAAATAGAATAAATATACACTGTCAAAGGAAGATTCCGGCGCACACCGCTGCAGGCCGAGGAGCGCAGGAGCTATGCTACCAGCAGACGCTGCAGCGGTTCTCCGGTGCACTCCTTGCGGTGGGCACCGGAACATATGCTAACCGTAGCACTGCTGACGGTCTATATTTATTCTATTTGTCTATGATGGTGGTGAGATGAGTAATGCATCAAAAGCTTATTTTATGAAAAAAAAGAATGCTGAAGGTAGATTTGTTGTGGACCCTAATGTCTTGGTGGAACATTGAATTATGGATATTTATAAATTTAAAAAACAATGAAAATATGACCTGGAATTATTGAGATTCATCAGAAAGCCATAAACTGGGTCTTCAAGAGTTTTGTCTTCAGTCTGGGGTTTGAATGGATTTTAGATTTCTTCAACATAGAAAAAGCGTTAGAGCAGTTTTTGAAAAATTGTCTTGTCAACCAACAAACAATCAATCAGTCATACAGACATTGCATCCATAGGCCTACAAGTTATCTTTAAAGGTACAGTAAATATAAATAAACATTAGAAATATAGAGCCCATTATGAATTGAAAATTATAAATTTTATTATGATATTGCATTATAATTAATGATAATGCCTTTCTTGTACTCCATCTATTCTATCCATATGGCTAAACCTTTGAGCTGTCAATTAGACAACAAATTATCAGAATTTTACAATTAAGTTAGTTGAGATTGGTTTTGAAAAAAAATACTTTTTTACAAAAATATATTTATCATTGAATTTATCCACCTCTCTGTCTATAAAGATTTCAAGATATTCAGCTAAATTCATTGTTGACTATTTCCACATGTGGCTTTTCTGCTTATTTTATGAAAATAACAAAACATAACCTCTGTCTGATTTATTCCTAAATTTATGTGTTAGGAGTGTGATATTTTTTGTTTAATCAGTGAAGAACAATAAAAAAATTAATAATGTTCTAATTGTAAATCCAATTTGTGACTAAAATATTTTATCTTCAAGTTTCTCAACAGCATAATGGGAGAAGGTAAGTGAAGTTTCTTTACAGTTTTTTTTTAATTTAGAGCAACCCTTTTAGGGGATTTTTGCTTATGACAACAAGCCAGTACCCCATAGTTTACTCATATTAAAATTTATTGGAATGGGGAGACATTCATTTACAAAATGGCCTGCTCAGAACTTTAAAAGCCTGTTTCTTGGATATAACAAAAAAAATTCTAACAATATTCTAATTTTTTTTAATACCGGTACCGTACGTAGTACAATACCGTAACACTAAAAATTTGTCATTGGGTTTGTCCGCAAAACATAATGGGTAAATTAACATAAGATTGTTTGAACATTACGGTACTGTTTTGAAAGCAAAAGCAATTCTTAAATCGTATTGTATTTTAAAAATTTTAAATGACGATTTTCTACTATTTTCAATTTTGCTGGAAGGGGTTATTCCCTCACGTTGCTGTTTTGTCCACAAGTTGGATATCTGAATGCATCTTGATCTGAATCCAGCTCAAAACTGAGCCAATCCCAGACAACTTACACCATTCTATAATGAATAATTCAATTATAAATCATTTAACTGAGATATCACACTATTGATATAATGAAACACACTCTAAGTACCCCTCATAATTTCTGAGTCACTGTAGTTTATAGCCAAAAATCTCAAGTTTCACGATACCTAAGCGTTTAATTTTTCTACGTGTAATGAACTTTTTTTACCCTAAAGAGAGAGCGAAAAATCTGCAATGTCAGTAGTGTTTACACAATTGTTCTCTATAGGCTATAGTTATGTGTTTGATCCTTTGACTTCTGGATACATATTTAAGATGATGGATACAATCTTTTTATTATCATAAAACAGTTAGCATTGACAAAGTCATATAGTACAGTCAGATACAGACATAGCTAGTGTAATAGGAGGGTGATCCTCAACATGATATATAGTACTAGCAATAAATTGTTGAAATATGGCATTTACACAGAATAATGGAAGTGAATAATCTTAATAACTAACTAAACATATTTAAGAGGTAAGACTAACACTATCAAACAACTCCATGTGTGTATAATTAAATAAAAACGACTAAAAGCAGTACCTGACATATTCTGCAGCATGAGGGTTAGTTTTAGAACTACTACCTATGGGGTTTTGAGAAGCGCTGATAAACCGGTAGACAGCTAGGTCTGATTTACAGGCAAGCTGCCTTAAGGGGTTTGCCTCCCAGACCAGACTAGGGTCCAAATCCCGTCCCAGCTATGTCTAGTGCACAATTCATGAGGAGTTCATCCTGTCTGTGGCAAAGCTAAGTGGAAGAAGCTCACCTCAATAAACTATGGACGGCTCGGGTAGAAGTTAATGAGGATGTGTTAAATCTTTGATAGTTGTAACTCAAAGCAGGCATTTTGCGTCCTTACGGTGTGAAACCACCATAACTTTGTTTGAAATCTTGGATTTTTACGCTCACAAGACAAAGTAAAAGTATAATATACATAAGAAATCACCGAATAACTCACTGAGTACACCAGGGTTAACTAAGTTTAATTAACAACTCTGATTTACTCAGCAGCACCAGGTGGTATTGAAGCCAATCCTTCTACATTAACAGCCAACCGATCATTCATCAAACAGAGAAAGGGATTCATCAGTCCAACCAGCAGGTATGTTGCAGTATCATATAACATTTCTCAAAACAAGCTATTTTTTACAGGGTATGATTTTAAAATACTTATAACAAGTTGTGTTGGATTAGCTTCTAGATTACCAGAATAAAAAAATTAAGATTTTGGTTGCCTGTAGGTAGTAGGTAACATCAGAGAGATCTGTTGCAGTATGATTCTAACTAAAATGTGATTTGTGCCGAAAGAAATTGGAGCAAATCTTCAGGCGCTTCAAAATTAACCTGCTTTGTCCATAACGGGTGATTCAGAGAAAATATTAACATCAAACCATAACATCTAACACTCATTGATCAAATATCAATATGAGATTTAGGTACTGGTGGAATGTTTGATATAAAACAGATCACTCTGATGGTAAACCTATTTGTTGAAGTATTAGAAATGGTTGTGCCCTCATTCTGTTAGATGATTTGCAACGCTGTTCAGTATTTTTCTTTTCTTGTAAACTCAAGTATTTGCAAATGTAACTATATAATACAACTTTGACTTATATGAAACGTATACAACTCAAGGTACAGCTGTATACCTAGTCCTTATCCCTGCCCATTCTATAAGAGATGTTCCTAGTCATTGACTCAGTGAAGACAGGTTCATAGAAAATTGTAGAGTAAGTTTTTAAGAATTTTTTTTAAGACACTAAAGAAAAAGGAACTACACAGTACTGCGTGTTTCCTCTTGCTTGCTAATCATCAACGTTCAAGAAACAGAAAAAAAACAAAGACAGATTTTGGTGAAAATTCATCTTTCAAAGACATTGTTGAACTGACAGGTCGGCTAAAGTCAGTCAGAACTTAACCCCCTTTTCCATATGTTTTCAGACAGTGTCACAAATGTTATTCTTTTTTAAGTCACTTCAATTACTTTAAAAAATGCTTAAATATGTAAAATAGTGAAAGTTGTATTTATCTTATTAGTGATCAAGAATTTCTGCATTAATCCCTTTTAATAATATGTATTAACTTTACCCCTTACCATCACCAACAATAAAATCTTAAAAAATTTGAATTATCATGAATGATGAGTTTGTTCGCAGTTTTGTAGATTTTGGGACCCTCGAAAATGAGTACTACACAGAAGAGGGGAGGGAAACTGCTGACTTTTATAACCCTCACCAAAACCGGGAGTTGAAAAGACCAACTACGTAAGTTGAAAAAACGTATGGTTATCATTAGTTTAACCCTTTGATGCACAGGAATATTTTTTAATTTCAATTTTCAGCAAATTGATGTTTTTTGATAACCTTAACGGTAATAGAGTTTAGGAAAAATAACAAAAAAATTATACAAATGTTTTTATAAGTTTTATTAATAAAAAACAAGGTGGTATTATGTATATACCACTATGTATCAATGCGTACCCTAAACATACACATACAGTTGTAAAAACCTACCTTGAAAAGTATCAATATGTCACAAATAAGAAACTATTTTACTTGTTATACTTGTTACTTGTTGTAATACAAAGATTAGGCATCATGTTGAAAATAGTATATGAGTCTAACAAAATTCACACGAGAAAATAAATTTTATAAAATTACTGAATACATAATACATGTGTGGGTCAATTATATAAAATAAAAAGTTTCCAACAAGTTATTGTCCAATATCCTATCATCATATTTTAGATTCAAGATTATTCTTTCAGTTTAGTTATGAAACTAAAAAAAAACAGTTTTTCTTGTCTGTTAGACATAAGGACACTTTGCACTTGTTGCACTCCCAGTAAGAGCGAACCAGTTTATCTTTAGTGCTGCAGAAATTGCATCTTTTCCATGTAGATCTCATGGGTAGGTGGAGATTCTCATTCAGCCTCTTCTCCACTGGCACCTGAACTTTATGTTTGTTAACATTTAGTTTAGCCTTTCCTTTGTCTTTTGTTGATTTTGAGAGTAGTCCATTCGCAACAGAGATACGAAATTGCTTCAAACTCAGTTTTTTGCCTGCATTATTGATTCCGAACGCAACAAATGAATTCACTACAGTTACATCAACAAAATGCCAGAAAATACGCATGTACCACCTTTTGCTTTTTCTGTTTATGCTGTAGCATGACTTCAGATGGTCAGCCTTATCTACATATCCCATATTAGCATTGTACTCCTTCACCACGATAGGACATGGGAGAGTGATACTGGAACCATCTTTTTCTTTTCTTTGAGTTGTAGTAACAACAATTCATGTGTCGGGTCATAGTGGTTGCTAAGAAAGAGAACCCCTTTATTGTCCTTCCACTTTACACAAGTGAGACCAGTTGTGCTACTCCTAAACTGAAAATCTCCACGAGCCATATTAGCCTTGAACTTGTTTGGAGTAAGTTTTCTCGTTTGCGGTATTGTCCCACTTGCATACACCTGCTTTCGTTGGAGGTGGTCAAATAGTGAGACGGATGTGAAAAAATTATCGATGTACACTTCATATCCTTTCCCCTCAACTTTACTAACTAACTAACTTAGTAACGGGTAACTTTACCCGTGTAAATGTCAAACTGCACAATGAAACCTCTTTGGTCAGGTGATGTCTTCAGTCAGGTCTTCAGGGAACCAAAAACGTCTTTTTGACATCTGAAAATCATATATAAATACTTAAAATATAGTTAGTTAAATTTATATAAGTAATTTACCTGATAAGAATAACTAATATCATAAGAAAATACGCTTGAAATCATGTTTGAGCTTAGTAAGGCAACGAACATACCTATTTGTCTAGTTGCATGGTGGTATAGTAGGGATACCACGTGTATTTGACAAAATAAACATTAAGTTTTAGAAGTAAATGCGTTTTTAACGCAATATTACTATAACATAATGTATACTTCAACATAAAAACATATAGCTTACCTTGTTAAATGTAATAGAAGGGCATACAATACAGTCGAAACTTCTGCAGTACAGCCTCTAACCTGTAGCATGCAACTCCGCTTTCAAACTAGAACTATGCTGCTAAATTAATCCATATAATAGTAGTTCCTTCTAAATACGCTAGATTACAGCACTGGCTAGGTCCCTGATATGGTATTCTCACAATACCAGTATGCAGCAACGCAGTAAAAATTATTTTACAAGTGGTATTCTGATAATACCACTGTGAATCAAAGGGTTAAACCTTCACTGGAACTAAAGATCTATCATACTTTTAAAAAAGCATTCTAATTTTTTATTTTTATAAAATTTTCTAAATGTTGAATTTGTTAACACTCCAAATTGTTGTATTTTAGTAACTTTTCAAATTGTAATAAATCTGTGATATTATAGTTTTACCGCTATTAATTTAAAATGTAATTTTTTACCTTCGACCATTTTTTAAGCTAGCCTTTCCAATTCCGTTCTTAGAATTTAAAAGACGAAGTTCACCGCATTATTTTTTTTTACCGTACTTCACAGCACTAGTAACGTACCAATAAGGTTCAAGGATTGAGAGAAAAGAAGTGAAATTGTAATGCTTCGAACGTCAACTTATCAGCTGTTAAGACCAATTTCATATATTATACAATGGAGTGGTTATGGTACAGTGAGTCGTTGCATCACCATTAGTGGCAATGAGAATAAAAAACATTACTCCTGCAGAAATATTTCAGCATTGGTTGGAGCCCACCTGAGGTTGATTTGTAGGAGTTGGGTCTGTTGCTAAATTATAGTAGTAAGCGTCTCATACTCCGGTACGAAAGGGAAAGGTTTGACTCCCAACATCCATAAAAATTTTGAAGGGTTGGACCTGGACCACTTTACTCTTAAAGCGTTCGGTGTTCTTTTGTTGAAAAATGTAGACTTAAAATTTGTTTATAAATACATGTAGTATATATTTTGCCCAGAGACTTTGAAGCAGCCACTCATCTACTGAAGGGTAGTGTTGGGGCCGGTCTGCTGGCGATGCCCAAGGCTTTCTCACACGTGGGAGTGGTGTTTGGTTTCATCATCACAGTCATTATCACTTTCCTCTGCGTCTACGCTATGGACGTACTGGTGAGTGTGGTCGATTACATAACGGTTACCGTACATGATGATAGAGAGTAGTAGAGACCATATTCCCATGTTAAAGTTTTAGTCAGTTTTTAGAAAATTGACGTAGTTCAATTGAACCACTTGCAGTGTATGCTGTCAATGACTGATTTCTTTTGATTACACAAACTATTTAACCAATCTTATCTGTAAGGACAGTTAGGTACTGTAAAATACAGAATGTTTTGTGTCACAAGAATTTTAAAGTATTGAAAAATAGAAGAGAAATAGAATAGAGTAGAGTCCAGCTATTCCGAATCTCGCAATTCCAAAAATCTGGCTATTCCGAATTGCTGCACATGTGTAATGATATGACGTTTTTGGGAAAAGTTTAATTTCGTAATAAACTCAGAAAGGTTTTTACTTTGTAAGATATTTTTCAAATGGTGTCGTTGAATTTTGTTAATCTTAATTTCAAAAATGTGTTTCCTCTAATTTTAAATGCTCATTTTGGTTTCACAGCTATCCATGCAGTACATTCAGTGTCAGAGATTACGCACTCCGTTCATCCCACTGCCTGCGTCTATGAGGATCGGCTTCAAGAACGGTCCTCGGCGTCTGAGATGCTTTGCTTCCATTGCTCCGTGAGTTCGGCTGTTATCTTAGTTCTGCACTTGTACATCAATCCTCCAGAGGATCAGTGGTGTGGTCGTAAATTTTCCAGTGCGGAAACGCTTACTATTGTCACAAACAAATACGGGTCACTTACCAATATTCGTTCTTTGTAAAAAGCAGAGTGGGAACGCCACTCCCGCCCCACTACACCACTGCAGGGGGGATGTGAAATGGTCTTATGGATACTGGATGACCTTATGATATTGATGGTTTGTGGGACTGACCAAAAGCTAGTGTCAATAGACTAGAAACTATGCATATTAGTAATAAAAACTAAAAGTATACGGATTTGTTCACTTTAACTGTGATCAGTTAAATGGAATAATTTCCATTATGAACCTACATAATGATCAGTCATGGAATAATTTTAGAATCAAGAGAATTCATCTTTAAGCATACGATTAAATTTTCCTAATGCAGTGTTGTAATATGGCAAGGTTACTAAAATTGCTTAAGAGCTGATTGAACGCTTCTCTATGAGACTATATTTTACTGATATCTTAGCAGAAACAACACTAAATCTTGTTCAACAGTACCAAAATCATTCCTATGGGTTGAGAAATCCAAAAGTTTTTAATCCCTCTCCTCCCAGTTATAGTATTGCAAGTATATTATTATGAACTGGTATGCTCAGTAACTTTTGATACTTCTTTCAGATTATTGGTGGACATTTTCTTAATATCCTGCCAACTTGGGTTTTGTACAGCATACATTATTTTTATTGCATCATCAATAAAACAAGTAAGTTTACTAATGATAAAAAAGTTAACAGAAAACTGAAAATACAAACTCTCTTGGTACCTTAAGACAACATTTTAAGTTGTTATTTAACTATTTAATTATTTTTTTGCCATTATTTTTTTGTATTCAAACAACCGTATTAACAACCGTAAACTATACATATATAGTTTGAGTTTTATTTACTTTAAAAAAGTGTCTTCAAAATGTAATTATAGTACAGATTACAAATTTAAAAGCAAACAATGGTTCAGTGGAACCTTCTCGGGCTGATAAGTTACCACTTGGATCGCCCACTTTCACCCTTACGCTAGTTCACCACACAAACCAGGTAAAGTTTGAGTTTTTTAAATCTAATCTGATATTGGGCAAAAGATGTGAAAAGAAAGGAAGAACAATGCCCAAACCTACAGTCTATATAGGAAGTATTTCAGTTTTATGTTCACGATAAACTGTTATGTTTAAGATCATTTGATTGAATTTCAAAACATCAACAGAAGACAACCACATATTTTTATCCAATAAATTGGTGTAAGTTTCCACTACAACCAAAACTATGTGTAGGTTGTTGAACCAAGATTCGTGGAAGATTTGAACTTGAAACTGTACATCTTGATGATATTCATCCCGGTTTGTCTGACGAACTACATTCGAGATCTGAAGAAGCTGATGCCTCTGTCTCTACTGGCCAACATTCTCATCTTGTTCTCCCTCGGGTGTTGCCTTTATTACATCTTCTGCGTGGGACGATGGAATACGGACACAGTCAAGATGGTAGTCCCTGTACAAACCTGGCCACTGTTTGTGGGAACTGTGTTGTTCGCCCTAGAAGCTGTGGGAGTGGTAAGGAGAAGTAAGGAACAGAGGATACACTCCATAGTATACTTAAGTGGTGTCTAGCTCTGTGCTCTAGTGATGTGTCAAAACCGAATCTCAAATCTCAAAACCATCAAAACTTAGGAAAAGTTTCGGTTTCGAGATTCGATCACCAAGTTTCGAGATTCAAAAGTTTCGAAATTGAAGATTTTGGCAGTTTTATTTTTTAAACTGCTGACATTTTTTTGTGCCATTGTTATTGTTTTCAATGCTGTTTCCAAACAAGCTGGTAGAAACAGAGCAAACATCACCATTAGCAGTAATGAAACAAGTAAATTTTATTCTGAACTTCAAAAGGTATCTTAAATACTATAACTGGTACAATTCAGTTTCACATCAATATTTTCTAAACACAAATAAATATTGACCACTAAATGTTCTAATTTATCTAATATTCATGTTTATGTTGGTGTCAGAAGTTAAATTTTGTTGTTGTTGTTTTTGTTTATGAAAAATTATGTTGTATTGGGTTTTAAAGATTATCAGTCACATTCACATATTTATGGTCAGGAGTCGATCTCTTTCAGTTTTGATTGCATAATTAACATTTTATGATTATGTGTATTTTTTTGTAACCTTGACCTTTGTAATCAGCTAAGTAAAAAAGTTTTGCGTGTAGGTTTTGAGATTTGAGATTCGGGTTTCGATTTTTTAAAGTTTCGGTTTTGAGATTCAAAATTTCTGGTTTTGACCATCACTACTGTGCTCACTGTTCCAGCTCTTCCTAGGCTGTCAAAAGTATATTGCTGGCACATTGTACCAGAGCTTGAAGCGCACATTTGTCCCATAAGTGTTTCCTCTGTGACTTGTTTCTCTGTGGCTTTTCAGCTTTTTTGTAACAGAAAACTCTTTATTCAAATAAGATTTCTTTATACTTCTTTCTACGTTCACCGCTCTGTACACTGTACAGTGTACAGAGCTTCCATAAGTATAGTGGTGTGGAACGCAAACATGTGAGAATGGCATTTCAATCTGATTTTTCCAAAAAAATCCTCTACAACTTATTGGTAGGCAACACATCTATTTCCCAAGAGAATGGTGAGCAAGCAATTTTAAGAGGCAGACTCATTGAAACTTAACGTCCTAAAAATATCAGCAACATTTTTCTTAAGTTTGTTTTCTTCTAATTTTGACCATACTAAAGCCAAAACATGGTCCTTTGAACCATGAGTGGATTCAGGTGTGAGGAAGAGGGCTCGTGTGGACCCCTTGGAGTAATATAGGTTCAAAAAAGGAACAAGTAGGGATGATAAGGTTTGAGTTGAATTCTACGAAGGTTAACCCAAAATGCATAGGCCTATTTACTGTTATTATATTAAAAATTTCCCTGGGAGAATTTCTTCAACTCAGCCTCTTTTCAACTGGCTGGATCCACCCAAGCGTTGACCAGTTTCAATGGTTCTCTTTTAGACATTTTTTGTATTTTCAAACAGAGCTGAATATTTATCAAGCAGATATGTATAGTTGTCATTAACAATTTAATTTAAATCACAATACAAGATTATTCAAGAAGAATTGTGCAAAAATAAACAGTTGGTATGTCTGTTTCTGTGAATTCAAACATCTAATTACACAAATGGGAAGTCTGTGTTTATAAGTTTGTTGGGTCAAGGTTATGTTTTGTCTCAGTTTCTTAGTTGAGTACCACGAAGCCTGGCAACAAAATGGCTACTACAAAACATGAAAAAGCATTTTCTGTTTTTGAATTTGCTCATACTAATAATGCTAATGTGTTCAGCAAAACTTTTTTGGGCCAAATTTAGGAAGGAGGCTGCTCATTGGAACTACATAGCTTGTTGGATGTGGCAATTCAAGAGATCTGGATGTCTGGGCCATCCTCAGACTCTGCCAGACGCTGTGGAGAAATCGAAGCTAAGTTTGCACAGAGTCCTAAAACCTCAACAGTCAAGGCTGGTAGGGAAATTCACATACCGCAGTCCACAGTTTTATGCAAGCGTTTGAGACAAAATCCGTACAAACTGCAGTTATTCCAATCATTGAAGCTTAGACAAGCAAAAAAAAAGAGATTTTTGCCATGATAGCTTCTTCAATTTTGTTGTTAGGCTTCGTGGATCTCAACTAAGCAGCTAAGACAAAACACAATCTTGTCAAAACAAACTTATATTATGAACCTGCTCTTTCCATTGGTGTAACAAATAGCTATTTTAAATCAGGGAAACAGATGGACCAGTCCTGTAGTTTTGCACCATTCGTTTTCAATAAACTTGTATTATTACAAATAAACAGATCTATAATTGCAGGAGCAATAATAAGAACTGTAATTGGATTTCTTTACTATTTTTTCCAGATTATAGCACTTGAACACAACATGAAGAATCCTGAACATTTTCTCGGCTGCCGAGGTATATTCCCGTGGTGTATGTTGGTTGTGTCTTTTTTGTATGTCTTTATTGGCTTGATCGGATACCTCAAGTACGGAGAAGATGTTAAGGAGACTATCTTTGCATCTTTACCCAAAGACGATTGGTGAGACATTGCTAAGTGTTTTTTTTTTAGTTATTCTTTGCCACATTACACATTAAGCAACTGGTTTCTGTACTCTTTTCAGACCAGAAAGTCGTTGTTTTACAGAAAAGGGATCATATACGAATTGATTTATGACAGAAGATGCATTACACTATAAAAAATTGTTACACAAGAAATAATATCTCCTTGGGGGTTTCCCAAGAAAGGCCGTTTGGTGACTTTCTAAAGCCATTTTAATGACCTACAATAAGTTTTTGAGACAAAATGTACGTATGTTTAAATTTATATTTACAATGTCCAATTAGGTGGGCTTTAGCCCCCACCCCATTGGAACCGCCGCTGGGTGATTGGCTGAATTTGAAACTGGTTCCTATGACCCAAATAAAATGTCTTAACCGTGAGACCAGTCTCTCCAGAACCAAGCTGAAAACTGATAAGAATGAGTTTTGACGCGTGTGATTAGCTCAACATGAGGTTTAACTTAATACACTACATAAGTCTTGTAATAACTTTACCATCACCTCAATATTTTCTCTGTTGACAGGCTAGCGTTGACAGTTTACGCTATTTACGGATTCTGCATATTTCTGACTTACCCGCTACAGTGTTTTGTGTCGTTGGAAATCTTGTGGGGCAACTACATCCGCCATGTTGTTGACGACCCTTTGAAAGAGTTCATTGTTGAGTACATACTTCGGACAGTGACTGTCTTGATCACTTGTAAGTATATTTATTGCAGTTTAAATTTCATTGAGAGCGAGCGAAGCTCTTATACGTCGACTCTTATGCATTTCGTAATTCGCAAACTCCTCCTACACGGCTGAATCAATCGTTTTTAAATTTTGCATGGTGATAAAGACCATATCGGTGAGTGCCAACATCTATATGGCGTTAAAAAAGTCTCTCACTCAGGAATCCGCCCCACTGGGTCTCAAAGTTTCAATGTAATCCTTATGGAAGCAGTATTTGACACATAAACAAAGACATATGATCAGCTGTTGACTTTTGAATGCAGTAGGTAAAGAAAAAGCTGATAGCATTATTCCACAGATATTAGAACAGAAACGGTATGGATCATAAATATAATCAAATGACGACACTGGCCGTCCTTGACATATGAAGTGGTTAAGGAAGTAGTAAAGGTGAGCAGTCTGGAGTGTGGAAACTGTTTATGACGATTGGATTAAGGTATCTGCATTCCTAAAATTCTATGGGAAAGGAGGAAAACAGGTCCGCGACGCAGGAAGTGGTGAAGGAAGTAGTAAAGGCGAGCAGTCTGGAGTGTGGAAACTGTTTATGACGATTGGATTAAGGTATCTGCATTCCTAAAATTCTATGGTAAGGGAGGAAAACAGGTCCGCGACGTAGGAAGTGGTGAAGGAAGTAGTAAAGGCGAGCAGTCTGAAATGAAATGAAAAAATATCTTTATTCATATGGTATACAGTCGCATACATTGAATGGCGTCACTAGGCTTAAAACTAAATAAAACTAATCTACAATTCATCGAAACCATAAAGTGTTTTATCAGTTAAGAAATGTTTAAGTTTTTTTTTAAATTTGGAAATATTATCAATATTCCTCACCTCAGCTGGGAGTTTGTCCAAAAACCTTTTCCCTGCACAGGTGGTTTTTTTGTTAAAGAGCTCCAAGTTATGGACACTGACAGCAATTTCGTTTCTGTTCCGGGTAAAATAATTATGACAATCACCAAGTTTAGGGACCAAATTAGCATTAGAAAGTTTTTTTGTGTGTAAAATTGTATGAAAAACATAAATACTATACACAGTCATTATTCCCAATTTTGAAAAATATTGACGAGCGGAAGTATCCCATTCTAAATTTAACATAATTCTGATTGCACTTTTTTGAAGAGTAAGAATTCTATCCAGGTTTTGCTTAGAGGTACAGCCATAAATACTTATGCCAAAAGATATTGATGAATCGATAAAAGCAAGATAAAGAATCTTTAAGGTTTCTATTGAGCAAAATTTTGACATTCTATTAATAGCATGGATACCAGAAGTAATTTTGTTGACTACCTGGTCAACATGCTTATTCCATGTAAGATTTGTGTCTACAATTAATCCTAAAAACCTTGTTGTGGTGATTTCTTCCAATTTATTATTTTGAAATTGAATTACAGGCTGTACAATTTGTTTTCTTTTCCTGTTGTAAAAACCATAAAATTACTTTTGCTTAAATTTAACAAGAGCTGATGAGAATTTAAAAAAAGTATTTAGCATATTTAAAGTATCAGAACAATGATTTTCTAAATTTGATAAAGATGAATTGCTGATTTTAAAAGTAACATCATCAGCATACAGGCAGATATTACTACTGTGTAAACTAGTTGAAAATGGAATTGACAGATCCCTAATATAAATGAGAAATAAGATCGGTCCCAAAATAGACCCTTGGGGTACCCCATGGTGAATCTCTGTAAGAGGAGAAGATCTTGAGATTAACCTGTTATTTGTCAAATTTTTAATTTCAACGTATTGATATCTGTTAGAAATATATGATCTAAACCATTCAAACGAAATGCCATCAATGCCCAAACTTCTGATTTTATCTAAAAGAATTGTATGTGACACACTGTCAAAAGCCTTACTTAAGTCTAAAAATATGCCAACTGTTGTTTCACCTTTGTCAAGAGAGTTTATTACTGATTCTATAAAATCTATTGCTGCAGTTGTAACTGATCTTCCTGATCTGAAGCCGTGCTGATTATTATCATGTAAAGAATACGTTTCCAGATAGTTCGTCAGTTGTATGTAAACTGCTTTCTCATATATTTTTGAAATGGTAGGTAATAGCGAAAGAGGACGGTAATTGGTTATTTTTTTAGAATCGTTGTTTTTATAAAGAGGAATAACTTTAGCAATTTTTAATTTAGAAGGAAATAATCCACTAACAAAAGATGAGTTAATTAAATGCACAAGAGGTTTCACTAACTGATAGCAAGCATGCTTTAATATTGTCATGGGTATCTCATCAAAACCAGTTGAAAGTTTGTTATCAAAGGAACTGATAATTTTTAAAACTTCACTATCTGTGACTGGTTTTAACCTAAATTTAATTTGGGAGACTTGTTGAATTGGCTTGTTGACATGTGTGTTGCTATTTTGTGCAAGGTGAGGAAGTGTTGATGAGGTTACATAGGTGCTAAAAAAATCATTAAATATTAAGCTAATATCTCCAGGATCAGTAAACAATGTATGATTAAAATCTATTTCAATATTACTAAATGCTGGTTTCTTGTTGGAGACCTCATTATTAAGGATTTTCCAGGTAGTTTTACATACATTACTAGATTGCTTAACCTTAGTCTCAAAATGTTTCTTTTTAGTAGCAATGACTTTTTTTCTAAAATCCTTATTCAGACTTTTGGCTTTATCAAATAAAATTTTATTTTTTGTGTTACGTGCCATTTTACTCATGTTTACAATTTTAGATTTTTCATTCTTCAAATCATCTGTTATCCAAATATTATTTGATTGTTTGCATCGTTTTTTAAACTTAGGAAAACATGTATTAAAATAAAACATAAAAATTCTAAGAAAAGTGTTGAATTTCTCCATAACATTTGCGTTGTAAACATCTATCCAGTTTTCATGATCTAATAATTTAGTAAACATGTGTAAATTTTTTTCACTAAAGTCTCTTACTTCTTTTACAGTTATTTTATTTGGAGTCAAAACATTTTGGTTTGTGAACTTATTATTTAGGCAACTAATCTGCAACAATAATCCATCGTGATCAGATATCTGGGTATTCACTCCAGTAACATTCATCTTATAATCTAAAACATTTGTCAATACATTATCTAGAGCTGATTCTGACATATATGTAACACGAGTAGGAAAGTTTACAAGATATCTCATGCTATATACCTGTAGTACGTCATTAAGCATTTTCCTGTAAGTAGTGTCCAATACATTAATATTTATGTCTCCAACAATTACAATATTTTTAAAATGTTTCAACAATAAATTTAATAAAGAGTCAAGCTTCTCTAAAAAGAGATTAATTTTTACAGAAGGGGATCGATATATTGCTACTAGTAAAAGCTTTAAACTATTATGCTTGTACTCTGTAATACAACACTCAAATTCTTTTTCACATATTATGTTGGTATTTTCCAAAATATTTATTTTTCTATGTTTTACATTTCCATTGATTTTACCAAGGATCAAGACACCACCACCACCAGATCTACTTCTTGCAAAAGATGAGTGAATACAATAGTTATTTAAATTAAATCTCGAAAGTTCTAAATCTGTCATTTTATGCTCATTAATTAATATTAAATCGGGATTTAATTCTTCAACTGTTATCTGTAAAGAATCTATTCTAGATGGCAGGTGTTGTATATTTAAATGAAATATATCCAATTTAAAACTTTTGTTGGTTAAATTTAAGTGATTTCTTTTGGCATCTTTAATAAGTTTTTTGAAGGCGGGTTGTCTGTTACAGTTGGTGGTGTACAAGATATAACATTGCTTACTTTATCCTTAGCTTCTAGATTACAATTAATATTAATATTTCGGGTTTGAGGAGGGAGTTGAAGTGTACATAGGGCAGAGAGGCTATGCATTACGCCGGCACCAGATACCGCACTGACACTAGCACACCCACTGACAGCCAACCCCCCATCACTTGACACAGTTGAAGGTGAAATTCTCAAACTGGACTGGGAGGTATCATCTTCCTCTTGTAGTTGGCTGTAGACATTAACATCTTTGTGAACTGCTGTTGTAGTTCTGGTTGCATCAGTGTGTTGTTGGATGTTATGGATACCAGTACTAGAAGTTTTGACAGCGATAGCTTCTCTGAGACTTGTGATAAACGCAGCATGCGAAAGGCCATTTCTAATGTTGGTGTTGGTTCTTTCATCTGAAGTTATGATGATAACTGATGCATTAGTTGATCTTTGAAATTTCACTATATTTTTTGCAAAGTGTGCACACGTGACATGATCAGGTCCGCGACGTAGGAAGTGGTGATGGAATTAGTAAAGGTGAGCGGTCTGGAGTGTGGAAACTGTTTATGACGATTAGATTAAGGTATCTGCATTCCTAAAATTCTATGGGAAGGGAGGAAAACCGGTCCGCGACGCAGGAAGTGGTGAAGGAAGTAGTAAAAGCGAGCAGTCTGGAGTGTGGAAACTGTTTATGACGATTAGATTAAGGTATCTGCATTCCTAAAATTCTATGGGAAGGGAGGAAAACAGGTCCGCGACGTAGGAAGTGGTGAAGGAAGTAGTAAAGGTGAGCACTCTGGAGTGTTGAAACTGTTTATGACGATTAGATTAAGGTATCTGCATTCCTAAAATTCTATGGGAAGGGAGGAAAACAGGTTCGTGACGTAGGAAGTGGTGAAGGAATTAGTCAAGGCGAGCTGTCCGGAGTGTGGGAAATGTTTATGACGATTAGATTAAGGTATCTGCATTCCTAAAATTCTATGGGAAGGGAGGAAAACAGGTCCACGACGTAGGACGTGGTGTAGGAAGTAGTAAAGGTGAGCACTATGGAGTGTGGAAACTGTTTATGACGATTAGATTAAGGTATCTGCATTCCTAAAATTCTATGGGAAGGCAGGAAAACAGGTCCGCGACGTAGGAAGTGGTGAAGGAAGTAGTTTAGGGGAGCTGTCCGGTGTGTGGGAACTGTTTATGACGATTAGATTAAGGTATCTGCATTCCTAAAATTCTATGGGAAGGGAGGAAAACAGGTCCGTGACGTAGGAAGTGGTGAAGGAATTAGTCAATGCGAGCTGTCTGGAGTGTGGGAAATGTTTATGACGATTAGATTAAGGTATCTGCATTCCTAAAATTCTATGGGAAGGGAGGAAAACAGGTCCGCGACGTAGGACGTGGTGTAGGAAGTAGTAAAGGTGAGCACTCTGGATTGTGTAAACTGTTTATGACGATTAGATTAGGGTATCTGCATTCCTAAAATTCTATGGGAAGGGAGGAAAACAGGTCTGCGACGTAGGAAGTGGTGAAGGAAGTAGTTTAGGGGAGCTGTCCGGTGTGTGGGAACTGTTTATGACGATTAGATTAACGTATCTGCAATCATAAAATGCTAAGGAAAGGGAGGTTAACAGGTCCGCGATGTAGGAAGTGGTGAAGGAAGTAGTTGAAAGTAGTGAAAGGCGAGTTGTTTGGAGTGTGGGATCTGTTTATGACGATTAGATTTAGCTATCTACAATCTTAAAATGCTATGGGAAGAGAGGGAAACTGGTCCACGACGTAGGGTGTGGTGAAGGAAGTAGTAAAGGTGAGCAGTGTTGAGTTTGGGAATGTATTAATGTATCTGCAATGCTAAAATGCTACGGGAAGAGACTGTAGACTGTATGTTAAAATGATTACGAAGCAGGAATCGATACATATTTTCTATACATGCAATCGTTTACAATCAAAATTTACAACTGAGTTGACAACAGCTGATTTTTACTCCATAGAGGCTAAAACTATTTTTACTCCCTAAATATTAAAAATGCTACTTTAGACCTGCAACGCATGCATTAAAAACTACTGTTTTTACTGCATTATGACAAAAACAATATAATATGAACCCTTGATGACTCCGCTCAATTTTGTGGATGCCTCTGCAAACGCCACCTAGTATATATTTGTATCCAAGTAGTCTCTCTGAACAGACTATAACTGCAGGGAGGGACATAATAATAAGCACATACCTCAGTATTTATAAGTATTTTCAGATTAATTATTTGTTTCATTTTCAGTTACCTTTTCTCACTACTAAACGTTTATGAAGTAGACCATTTTGTTGTTTCAGTTATAGCAGCTTTGACGATTCCACAGATTGACATTGTCATTTCCCTGATTGGCGCGTTGTGCATCTCCTGCCTCGGGATGATATTTCCCTTCACGCTAGAACTCGTCACTCGATACCCTAATGATTTTGGCCGCTGGAATTGGATTCTAATTAAAGACATTATCCTTATCCTATTGGGTTTTGGTATTCTTGTCATTGGAACCTATACCTCTCTCTACACATTTTTGTTTTCATAATAAAAATTTTTGGAACAATTTAAATCCAATGAGTTTGAGCGTGTAGAGTACAACATATTGACAACTGTGCAGCAAGCACCAACATATTGACTCAGTGTCAGAAAATTAAGAGCCAAAGACATTACTTACATTTTCCCAATATGAAGGAATAATAAATAAGTTTTTTCTGAGCCAGAAAGATATGTTATTCTTAAGATCACTGATTTGTTCTAATCGCAGAACTATTCAACTTTGTAATATTTTTGTAGAATATAGGGATTAAACAACATATTTTCACTTTGCTTTGTTGTTACTGTTGTTGCTATGTTTGAACAGTAACAGAGGAGAACTCCTTAAGTTACTTTATCTTGAATTATTTATTCATAGACAAAAAATTAGTGTGCCTCCAACACACATACTGATCCAAACTAAAGAATACTAATATTCCCTGAATTGTCAATGTACATACCGACAAATCTTTTCATGATATACTAGTGAAAAAAACCATGCAATTATTTTGTAAAATAAATATATCAAACTTTGGAATCAAATAGTTTATCTAAAACTTGAGATTATTTTTTAAAAATAATATGTAATTGTTGGGTCTTCATTAAGGAATAAGTTACACATTTGATAAAACCATAGACAAAAAGAATTCAATTAAGACCGACAGCGATTAGCATAGGTCCTGAGCGCCGTGTAGTTATGAAGCGCTTATGCCTTAACTACACGGCGCTCCCAGCGGTGGACGCAAGAACCTATGCTAACCGCAGCATGGCTGTCGGTATTATTTTTGTCTAGGATAAAACTTTGTTGGTACTGGTGTAAAATAAAGAAAGTAAAATCTTTCAAGTAGTATAATTAAGAAAAATACCATAATACATAAGTAATTTACCAACAAATAAACTGTGAAAACTGGCTATACAAAGGTAATAAAATGTCTGATAATTCAAATTATAAAATATGAAATTAATCTCAAAATTTAAGAAAATGGTAACTCCAACACTTTGTAAATAATTATTTATAGCAACTGATAAATAATTGATATTTCAAAGCATTGATAACAGTTTTACTTACAGTACAAGTATTAATTTACAAAAATAGATTTATTCCATTATGACATAAACATAAGAAAATATGAACTTCAAAAAAATATTGTATACTGTTGCAGGCTCTGAGTGGCTAATTTGATTACAGTGGAACCTCGATAACAAGTGTCATTTTCAAATCCCCTTGAATTTATTTTACCCTTTTAACCTGAGTTGTTGCAAACATCGATAAGAAGTCAACCTGATGAAAAGTCTTCTTAAGGCATCTCACTCCATTCTACACCCATCCTTCACTCATATTTGGGTTAAAATACGCCCCTTGGTGGCTTCCCCATCTCTACCGGTAATAATAACAATATTTAATAATCCTCATGTGTTACCGAGGTTCTACTGTATGCATCTTCAATTTTTTTTTTAACTGGCTACAGCCGGTCCATTTTGATATCCGTCTACTAACTACAGTAGCTCATAATCAATGGTTTTAACCAGTAATGAAATATAAAAAATATAGTTTAATTAAGCAACTAAATGAGAGTGCTGCTTTAATAAAGTTTTATATTCCTAGTAAATAGAATTTCAATAGTACCACAATATATCGCAGGCTCATTCAATTATGTTATCTTTGACTAAAATGCACAGGCTGGCTCATGTCTTTGATGTAGCACTTGCTGACATGGTCCTGTCCCCCCCCCCCCCCCCCACCCTGTGACATCCCTGTGCAGACAGTCGGGCCTGCTGCCATTACGAGGCCAGTGAAAATCTCACTCTTTTACATGTTTCCCTACCTTTGTACGATTGTATTTTCATGTGAATCTTACATTGTTTTACTCTCTGCATTAGCTGGAGGATTAAAATTTCTAAACAGTTCTTAGTGAGGTGGTGTTATAACAACAAACATAGAGGAGTTGCAATAATAAAACTTTATCATTAAGTCAGGAATATTTTTATTTTGGGTTGGGAACAAACTCCCAGTAAGGAAACAATAGTCAATCATTTCTTCTGCGGCATTTACTTTAAAATGTTTTAATACTTCAACAGTCTCAAAAGACAATTGTTTCAAATGAGCGCTGGCAGGTATTTTTTCCACAAGCGTCTAGGTATCCAGTGCAACTCCGAGGATCGTAGATCAGAACACTCCCCACCACCGCATTATGTCGTACGCTTCCGAATCATACTGGCGCATCAGCATAGCCTAACTGTTCGCAGAAAATTGTTATCTCTATCACTGTCGCTGTCAAAACGTATCGTTTGTAGGATAAATTTAAATTAAATATAGTTAAACTGTCATAACCTAACCAAACTTGCTGATAATAAAAAACTCAAATGAAGGTTTACTAATCGAAAAAACAGTTCTGCTCTAAAAATAAAATTATAAATGTCTCAAATTCAATTTTATAATTATAAAATTAAACTGTCATAACCTAACCAAACCAACCAAACTTGCTGATATGAAAAAAATTGTTGACAAAAAGTTAGTGCTACCAGCGGGATTCGAACCCGGCACCTTCAGATTATCAGCCCAACATGCTATCCACTACACCATTACGGCTCATGACTCATCTCTGTATCGTTGCGGTAATGGTTGACGTCACGCCATCGCCACGGAGCGGTTGTGGGGGGTTTTACGATCTGATCCACGATCCTCGGAGTTGCACTGGCTGCCTAGACGCTTATAATTTTTCCTGCTCACCTCGCAATATTTTAGGTTGTGAATTAACTAGTGCACAAACTAGCAAAAGAATTTCTGTTTACTTATTTTTTACCAATAAACCCTCCATTCTAAAGACAATATAAAATTAACAATTACAAATTCCTAGAAGGGATTCAACTAAGTGTCTTTAGATGACACAACAAGGATTACCGGTGCAGCAAAAATGTAAGTAATATTCTAAGGCTAAAGTTTGCTCAATTTTTTAGATAATTGTTTTTAACACTAATTATTTGTTTTACTATTAATAATTATGTAATATTTAAATAAGATCATAACACTTTTTAATATCATGACATAAGCAATACGGGGCATGAGCACATGAGCGGAATGTGAACGCCAAGTCATATCATTCACCACTTCGTGATGAATAATAAATGAACTGTTAGTTTTATCGAGAATTTTCTGGACTAATTATTAAAGTAAAGCTATAAATAAACATTTTCTCGTTAAAGTTTATTCTTATCCCAAAAATAAAAAATTGCCATTCTTAAGTGACTTTTTAAAGTTCAAAAGTTAGCAATCCTTGTTCCTTTTCTTTGTTTATAAAATATTTATTACTAGTGATAAATAATATATTTTTTACCATCAGACTTGGTTTTTAGGCAGTTGACAACTATATGAGTTTCATACAAACAATTGAATTGTGAAAGTGTAGGGAAGCGTGTAAATGAGCGGTATGTAAATGGGCCGAGCACTGGACCGACCCATGGACAGCCACAAGGCAGTGGAACCACTTTGCTCTAAGAGCCAGCCCCTGTATTCTATAGCCCGCTACTAAAACCTGGGAAGAGCCGCTGGTCCCATAGATGGGTTGTTCACTTCAGTACCCATCGAAAATGATTGCAGAACAGTTAAAAAAATATCCAAGCAAAACACATTGCTTAAAAGTTAAAATCAAACCAATAGAATCCAAAATTCAATATAAAAATAATAATCATGATAAGAAACATCTATAACTAAGCAAAAGTCCATTTTACTCAATACCCATCAAATAGTAAATTGAATTATGATTTTGTATATACATAAACAAAATATTTCTATCAATATGATTATGATGCTATGATTACTGTACAAAAGACAATGATTACAACTGTAACTCGATCCTTTCTTAAAATTATTAAAAATAATTGTATATACATGTAAAATCTAATGCAATGTAATACAAGTGTACAAAACCAATAACTATTTCATCGCCCTTAAACTAATCTCTTTTTTAATGTAAAAGAACAACTTTCAATAGAAAAGTTATATAATCTATACACAACTTTAATTAAGTTAAATGACATAAGTTCGTTCTTACAAATCTTATTTTCATATAGGTATATATCGGATTTTGATTTCAAGAAATGTTAGTTGATAACTTTCACCAAACAAATCTCAAATAAATATCAATATATTAAACTATATTTGTATGTAGCCCTTTATCAGAATAATGCCTTATTATTTTATTCACGGACTGTATAAAAGTAACTATAGTTCGGCCACTTAGAAAACGACCTGCGCGCTAATGCTAAACTAATGCTGGAGGATGTCGCTTTCTAAGCGGCCGAACTATAGACCTGTATCATTAGGTATTTAAAATTATATTTCATAGTATGTCATTATTTTTGTTTCCTTTTTTGATATTCTACACCTTACATTCAAAAGGTTCAACAATTGATTAAGTTGAATACAGTTTTCAATTTAGAGATCAATAAGGCACCTTAAATTATCAGAGATTAACACTATTTACTTGAAGTTTAAGAGACTTTGTTGTTGCATGTTTTCATGTGCTCTATAAGTTTCAGTTTTGATTGAAACCTTTCTTTACAGGATTTGCATTGAAAGAGAAGAGGGTCTAAATGAACTCTTCTGTGTCTTGTGTGAGAGTCGTAATAATAAAATCCCTTTCCACAAACCTCACAAAAAAACTTCTTTTCTTGTAAACCAGAATGCTTTGCAGAATGCTCCCTCAGACTGTGATACGACTTGAAGGTTTTGTTGCAAACTTCACAAGCCGAGTTGTTAGAACCGTGAAGAATCTTGTGGGTCTTCAGCGCTTGTTTTGTTTTCACAACTTTTCCACAAATATTACATTTAATAATGTTCTTATTCTGCCTCAAATGTTTTTTTTCATGAAGAATAAGTTTCTTAATGTTGTCCTGCGACTTGTCACAATATTTACAATTTAGACCCGATCGGTGTGCAAACTCTACATGATTTTGGTACGTTCTTTCTGAAAAGAAATCATTTTTACACTTAGAACAACTTAAAGCTTTTTTCGTCTTCTCTCCGTGCTGGGAGGCTTTGTGGGATAGTAATGTTTTTTCAGTGAAGAAAGACTTTTCACACATGTTGCAATGGATCATATTTTTTCTGTGAATTGGCATTCCAGTATTCTGTTTCAATTCAGAATGAAAGGTTTGGATATGAGCTTGACGATGGATTTCATCGTGGCATTCTCGATCACAAGCAGAACACTTCAATCCCATAAAGTCTATTGAATGATTTTCTAAGTGATCAATTACTTCTTCTGGGCGGAAAATGTTTTCACAAATGTTGCAATAGTGTTGGACATGAGAAGGAAGATGATTCTTCACTTCTTCTTTGTCCTGTGAAGCAAAGTTACAGATAGGGCAGTTATAAGTCAAAGATAAAACATCTTTATTAGATACATCTTCACTGTCATTTCCTTCTCCAGTAAGGTCTTGAAGCTCTTTGAAGACTTTGTTGTAAACTTCATTTTCAACATTTGCATTTTTGTTTATCTTGCTCCTATTTTTATGCTCTGTCACTTGTTTTATAAAATTTTCACCTTTTTCGTTGAAATGAGCTCGTAAATAATGCAATCTCAAGTCTTTCACAAGGGTATAGAGTCTATTACAAACAGTGCATCTTGGCTTGGTTTGCAAAATTTCATGAACAGTTTTGTTGTGTATAGTGAGGTGTTCTGGGTCCAAAAACAACTTTTCACAGAACACACAGATGCCCAGTGAGTTGCAAGTGTGTACTGTGTGTCTGTGCATGTGGGTTACATATCTATTTTGCTGAGGAAAGCTAACATCACACTCATCACATCGGTAAGAAGTCTTTGATGATGAACCTTTTTGTTTTTTCTTGCTTTCAAATTCTACACTAGTAGACGATACTTCACTGACACTAATTTTAAGGTTATCTGCCTTGGTTGAAGATTTCTTTACCGTTCTATTTCTCAACATAGTCTCTTGATTGGAAACAGAAGGTTGACTAGACACTTCAGAGCTTGCCACATTTCCTGTTTTATCCCTTGAATTTTCTACCCTTTTCAAATATTTTTTGGAATGGACTTTGTCAAAGTGACTTTTTAGCTGGACTATATTCAAAAATTTAAAATTGCAATTCTTACACTTTAACAGCAAAGACCCAGCTTTGTGACATTTGTAAGCATGAACCTTCATTGCAATTAATTTCTTAAATACAACACCACACTTCTTACACTGCATTGACATCTGTCTTCTGTGTGATTTAACATGTTTCTTTATAAATTTTAATGAAACTTTCCTGATTCCACAAAGGTTGCACTTGTAAGATTTTACTTTGACATTTCCAACTTTCGCTCTCACTTGTTTCTTAACTTTGGCTTTATCAGTCGTGGAATCAATTTCAACTCCATTAGTAGTAGGGGTGGAGGTTTGTTTTGGGAAACTTAAATTGCCACCTTCATGGGACAGTTTTACGTGATCTTGTACTGCTTCAAAGGAAGAAAATTTAGCTTTACAAAATACACAGGTTGGTTGAGAGGCCACATCTTTTTCATTCATATCTTCATTGACATCTGAATCATCTGACTCTTTCAAAGAGCTTCTAAAAACATCTTTTATTGTAGAAAGATTTGTGGAAGCAATTCCTTTATCTGCATCATTAGGTTTAGCAGCTTTGGCAGGGGAATGAAGATCATCATTAGCATCATCTTCAACCCAATCGTCGAGAAAATCCAACTTCATTTTAACAGATTCCTTTTTACGTTTAGTAGTTTTCTTCTTTGGACTTTTTGGCTGATAAATCTCATCGTCTGATGATTCAAGAGTTTGGATATCATCGTATTCTTCATCACTGACAATAATTTTATCATTGCCATGGTCTCTTTTGCAGTGTAATCTGACATCATCTTCATTGAGAAACACTTTATTACAGACACTACACTGAAAAACTATTTTTTTCTTTTTCCTAGGTGATTTTTTTTTATTCTTTGACGTTTTCTTTGATGTTGATTTTTTGCTGTTGGATTTAGATCTTTTGTTGGTTTGTGATGAGAGGTTTGATGAATTACTTACATCATATTTTCCAGCGGAATTAGCTTTTTTTGACACAGGTGATTGAAGTGTATCATGTTTTGGGTACATCCGAAGATGCATATTAAACTCCTTTTCATATTTTGTTTGATAATTGCAAACCTCACATTTGTAAAGGAGTTCTCTGTCTTCAAGTGTTGAATCATCGTATTCCACTTGCAACTAAAACCAAAACAAATAAGTTACAATTAGTGATTTTATTGTTTATTTTACAATAATATTACCATACATTAACATGATGTGTACTGTGTACATATTTAATTCTTGGCAATTAATTTATTATACTTGGAAGTCGCCCCATGGTCGATAACTCGATCAAAAATATGTTTATATTTCGTTATTATTTTGTCACCAGCATGGAACCCATAAAGGCCCATGTTAATTTGTTTTAAAATTTTAATTTATAAAGGGATTTTGCACATCTAGGAGCAAATATTTATTTCTAACAGTATGCTTAGATTTTCTGTGATAAACACGAGCTGAGGAAAAGGGGTTTCAAGGCACATGCTTGCCTATTAACCCTTCAACTGGCAGCGCCACAATAATAGTCACTTTTTGTAAGGTTTTGGTTAACTCCAAATAGAAGGTTAAAAATATTGTAAAATGGAATAATTTTTATACCCTTTGAGAGATGAGATTCTAAACATGCATTTTGTTACATAGATGAACTTTATCTCTTAAAGATATCACACTGTAATTGCGCACTAAAGAGAACTTACATTTTGAGCAAAATCACGTTTTATTCACTGAAATATATGATTATCTATATAATAAAGCATCTCCTTCAAAAGTCCTTGACTGTGCATTTTGGCATTTAATTGTTTAAGACTGCACCACTGGTGCAGATGTTATCAGCTTTTATTATTCGTGAATATTTGTCTGACTAACTAACCTCATTCTATCTTGACCAACGACTAACAAGTCGACTTTAAATGTGATTTTACTTGCATCGTGATTATACGTTGTAAATGTTAAGTTGGGATATTATTTATTGTGCTTTGACTGAAACGTGACACAACAACAACAAGTATCGTGAGTGTGATTTTATAACTTTGGATCATATTAACTAGTTGTACATATTTAGTTTGTAAACTGTTTTGTGCACAGACTTAGTAAATTTGAGGTCTGGGACATTTAGCCTGTTCTTAAACTTTTTGTCATAGTGACACACAATTTTGATCACAAATAAAATTTATGTAGGGGAATAAATTTCCTTTTATTTTATTTAGTTGGTATTTGGGTTTTATGTGTGTAAAAAATAAGTTACATGTTTGAATAAAAAAGATTTTTCTTAAAAATATTAAGGTTTATAAAAGTCATAAGGATGTATAGTAACGGTCATTTTGCATGAACAACTCTTACTTCATTTGATTTGTTTCCAATGTTATTGCCTTTACAAAAATGTGTTCTTTTACTACATTTCTTGAGAACACATTTTAGGCTTGTCACACACTAAGATCGGGCCAGTAAAATCGGAAATGGCATGCTAGACCAGGTAAATTCGGAAACCATTTTAAAGCCATGAGCTCAAAAGGAAGTCCCAAAACTGCATTTGTTCCGGTGCGTCACGTCTGGTCCGATAGGATTATTTCGGATGGGAAGCTATTGGCTCCCGGCAAGCTTAAGGGGCCGGAGAGCTCGCATATGTGCAGATGACTTCTACTCACCACGTGACAGCGACAGTAGGCACATTTTTATTATTGATGTTTCTAGGAAGGCACAGTGTGTGAGCCATATTAAGCCATATTTGGTTAATGTTTTAAATTTGAAGGTCAAAATCATGAAATTTGTCATTTTTCTGTTTTTGGGCCATAACTTTCTAAAACTAAATGGTAATTGAGATCTTTTTACATCTCCATGTAAGTAAACAAATTCCAAACATTTTTTATATATTGAATTTAACAAAACATTTTTGGTTCATGAAACAAAGTTTTACCTTCAAAATTCAAAAAGAATTATTTATATTTTTCTACCTAATGTCATACATATATGTCTAAATATATATTCTGCTGTCATTTTCAAATATTCTTCATTTCATTGTGAACAATTCAAGTATGTGGTTCAGTAGGTTTGTTTTATTGATTGAATATTTTTTTATGGATATTTGAAAATATGACTGCAAAATCACCAAAAATATCTTGCTACTATAGAGTTTACTAATTGCCAGTTGGATTGTTAAACTATGTAATTTTTATATTGTTTACGGTGATACATTAGATCAAACTGCTTAGTTATATTGAATCTTATTGACGTTTGTATTAATCAAACATTGACACACATTGTTTTATATAGTTGGTCCACAAACAAAATATGGTTTAGGAAGAGATTATTTGCATTAAATTGTAGGCTATTAAAATTTTGTAATATTGTGCAGAACACATCTGGGCTACAGCATAAAATGAAGTTTCCCTGTAACAGTGTAGACAAGAAAGTAAAAGTGCTTGCTTTCAAATTAAAAGGAAAACTAGTAGCCTAGCTGATGAAGAGTAGCTTATAGCTTATAAATAGAGTAGCTTTTGAAACAAAACAGAATATTTAAAATTGAGATTCAAGGCAGAAAAAGTTGATACCGTATCAATGATAAGACAAGTACAGTAGACTCTTGCTCATTTGGACTAATGTGGCGGACGTTCGGTCCGGATTACGAAAAATCCGGACTATCGAGTGTCGAGCAAATACAGTACTGTATATAGCCGTTTTTTAAATTTAGTTCCAGGTCCACAGTAATGATAGCCGGGCATATGCACTTCCACCGGTAATAATCTTTACCATAGACAAAAAGAATGAAATATAGACTGTCAGCCGTGCCGCGGTTGCCATGGTTACCATAGGTTCCGGCGCACACCGCTGTAGTTTACGTAGCGCGTACGCCGTAACTACCGTGGTGCTCCAAGCGGTGTGCGCCAGAACCTATGGTAACCGCAGCACAGCTGACGGTCTATATTTAACTCTTTTAGTCTACAGGGTGTCTACCAGATTTCTCAAATGGAATTCCCGACTTTTTCCCGACTTTTCATTACCATTTTTATATAAATCCCGACCAAAAACTCGGTCCATTTTCCATGTTACTACACCTTTCTCCGTCTCGCGGTCACGGTACCTTTGTCAACATATTATGTTGTCACTTACGACCCAGCGAAATCACTGACGATCGAAACGTATCACTTGCCAAGAAAATCCCGTATTAAATGTAGGGGTGTGTGAAGCAGCAAAACATTTCAACTCAAAGCAACGATTCGATTTAAAAAAATGTTGATGTAACACGATTCGAAGAAACATGGCATTTTTCTATTCATACTTGTCAGTGGAGTGAAATATCTGTTTTTAATCATACATTAGAAGAACCAGTATTTCTGGAAATATCAGTGAGCTTCTTGCCTATTTCATAATTTTTACTTGCAGCATCATGTTGTTAAGTATGTTACCTATTTTATTTTATTAATTTTATAAATAAAGATATGTATGGGTGTAAACAAATAAAAACCTTTGTAAGATTTAAATACTGAATCTTTCAATTGGTTTACATTGATAAAATAAAAGGATAGAATCAGAACTACAAGGTATACATAACTTCTTGTATGGCTAAGCAATGTCTCAGTGTATGCCACGTACTTGGATGGCAATAACCTGTATGGCTAAGCAATGTCTCAGTGTATGCTATGTACTTGGATGGCAATAACCTGTATGGCTAAGCAATGTCTCAGTGTATGCCATGTACTTGGATGGCAATAACCTGTATGGCTAAGCAATGTCTCAGTGTATACCATGTACTTGGATGGTAATAACTTGTATGGCTAAGCAATGTCTCAGTGTATGCCATGTACTTGGATGGTAATAACTTGTATGGCTAAGCAATGTCTCAGTGTATGCCATGTACTTGGATGGTAATAACTTGTATGGCTAAGCAATGTCTCAGTGTATGCCATGTACTTGGATGGTAATAACTTGTATGGCTAAGCAATGTCTCAGTGTATGCCATGTATTTGGATGGTAATAACTTGTATGGCTAAGCAATGTCTCAGTGTATACCATGTACTTGGATGGTAATAACTTGTATGGCTAAGCAATGTCTCAGTGTATGCCATGTACTTGGATGGCAATAGCTTGTATGGCTAAGCAATGTCTCAGTGTATGCCATGTACTTGTATGGTAATAACTTGTATGGCTAAGCAATGTCTCAGTGTATGCCATGTACTTGGATGGTAATAACTTGTATGGCTAAGCAATGTCACAGTGTATGCCATGTACTTGGATGGTAATAACTTGTATGGCTAAGCAATGTCACAGTGTATGCCATGTACTTGGATATCAATAACCTGTATGGCTAAGCAATGTCTCAGTGTATGCCATGTACTTGGATGGCAATAACCTGTATGGCTAAGCAATGTCTCAGTGTATGCCATGTACTTGGATGGCAATAACCTGTATGGCTAAGCAATGTCTCTGTGTATGCCATGTACTTGGATGGCAATAACCTGTATGGCTAAGCAATGTCTCAGTGTATGCCATGTACTTGGATGGTAATAACTTGTATGGCTAAGCAATGTCTCATCTCAATGAATAGCTTATATAATTAATATCAATCATTTGAATAATGTCAATAAGTTATATGGATACTGATAGTCAAAGTAACAGTATCAATGTAACAGTCAACTACGTATATGGATACTGATTCAATGACGTATAGACACTGATTCAAAAAGTTAATTGGATAATGATTCAATAACGAATATGGATACTGATTCAATACCGTATATAGATACTGATTCCATAACGTATGGATGCTGATTCAAAAACGTATATTATGGACACTGAATGCCCATGATTCAAATCGTTATTTTGATCATCACTGAATCGAATTGGAATTCCGATGCATTTTCGTTTCATCCCCCACCCCTCAAATGTAATCCCGTCCCAATGATCAGGAATATAAGATCCAGAACATTTTTTTTACAGTTTTGGGACCCGTTCATCCCTAATTTTGAAAGGTTAGATTATTCCCGTCTTTCGGCCGAAATTCATGACTTTTTCACGACTTTTCCCGACCTTTCAAAATCCCCGACTTTTTCCCGAATTTCCCGGAATTCCCGACTGGTAGACACCCTGGTCTATGTCTTTACGGCCGAATTTTGTTCCAGGTCCACAGTAATGATAGCCCGGGCATATGCACTTCCACCGGTATAATTTTTTCGTCCGAATTTTGTTCCAGGACCACAGTAATGATAACCCGGGCACTTCCACCGGTAATAATTTTTACCGCTGTGTTATCAGAATTTTTTCATTATTCAAGGTAGTCTCGGTCACCGTTTTGCTCGGATAATTGGACTTCTACTGTACTGTGCCGCTAAAAAAAATCACGATTGCCGATCCGGACTACCGGGAGTCCGGACAAGGCCGATCCGGATGAGCGAGAGTCTACTGTAACCTGAAGTATAAAATCACCTAGGCATTCAAAACGGGTAATGTATATAGGACCTACCTTAGTATCATCCTCGGTCAAGTTGTACTTGGAGTGAAGTAGTTGAGTGAGAGTAGACTTGACTTCTACCAATTGGAAGGAGAGTGAGTCCATCAGATTGAGGAGGTTCATGCATTTGCTGCAAACTGCGTCCCTCTCGCCCACCAACACCTCAAACTCGTCTCCGACCAGTTCTTGGATCAGATCGGCTACTGGGGCATTCCTCCTTTTTGTAGCAGTTACTTGTAACTGGTACTTCCATTTCTCCAATGGAATATTTTGATCACAGACGAAACAGATGTTGTCAATATCGTCCATTTTCTAAAATAGAACTAGGAAGATTAATGATATGAAAAGTCAAGCACATTATCCAATAAGTATCGAGTCAAACAGGAGTAGTGACTCGATACTTACTGTTTCTGCAATACTCGAGTAATAAACTTGGCAATTAGTTTTTTATGAAAATAATACAATCATAATAATTAAAGTACCGTATGTATGTAGTAGAATACAAAAATAATAAACAAGAATGAAAATAACAATGAAACCTCAATAAAAAGATTTTGTCAGAAAAGAGAGCCTACTTTAATATTTTAAACAATCACCATAGTGGCCTATGATTATTTTAAGTAGGTAGACGAAAACACTTAAAAAATTAAGAACATAGGCTAAGCAAAAGAACAAATTTGATTGCATTAGGCATGGATTAACTTAATTAAATAGGTTTTAACTTAAATCATAATTTCTTTCAGATACAACAGATATTTTTGGACTGAAACTAGGATATTAAAAATATGTTTAACTTTTTTATTTTACCTTGCAATCAAATTATTACACTTAAGTTAGTTTAAGTAGGGCAAGTGAAGTGTATGCCCAGAGCAAGTGGCCTTCCAGCTAATAATAAATTAGTTCATTAAACAAAATACCCCCCGCAGCATACCTGCAGACCAAGTGAATTTCCATTTATCGGGCTGGATTTCTACTTATGTATTCCCTTGAAATTGTCAGATTTATTTCCTATTGAAATAACACCAATTTATATGAGTACTTAGGTTTGAAAATTATATTTTTATCACTATTCTTATGCTAAATAATGTCCTGAATTCAAAAATTATTATCATTTTACTAGACTTCTGTAGTACGGTTTTTAATCTGTTGTCAAAAACAACCGAATTAAAATATATGATTATTTTTTATAGCCTAGGCCTATAACTTATTTATAGGCATGCACTGTGGATGCGTACTCTCTGATGTGGATTAACGTCCGCACGAGTGAGTACCGGTACTACGACTATCCGCAGTACTATCCTAATAATTAGACCAATTCGTATATACGAAGGCAAAAATGAGGTTCGGATTCCACTATAAACTGTAGGTCCCTTAGTTGCCATTTAGCTGTATGGGCTATTAATTAACAGCTGTGTCTAAGGAATATGTCGGCCTTAGTCACTAACAAGACTACAAGATCGCGCCACTCATCCTACACTCATCTCCATTCATTGGCTTAAAATACCTTCTTTGTATGGTCGCCATCTCATCAAAAAGTATTAAAGTACAGTAGACCCCCTCTTAACCGACCTTGCTTTGAGAGCAGTTCGGTTTAACAGCCACTTTCTAGGAATCTCGGCATTTCCGCTCGCACGCTGGGCGATGAGAACTGAACCATACGCTTATCTCCACAGGATATGACTAAGAATAAGTTATTTTGTATTGAAAACAAAAAATATAGCATAGCCTATTGTCAGTATGTCATCACCATTCGTAGCGCGAGCACATATAGTGCGTTACGATTTTGAGAACTGATTATCTTATCGCTGGAGTAGGCCTAAACAAACAATGCAACTTGTAGGGAGGGAAGGGGGGTTAACAACTCCAAGGTCAAGATAGTTTTTGTGCATCGAGCCTCCAGTGAGAGGCTATAAATAAACATCCTGTATCAAAATGGTTGCTTGTATCTTTAATTTCGACGAAAGGTTCTGTACTGTATTTCGATGGATTTGGAAAGCAACAATTAATACATTACAGTAGGCCTACTAAGTTTAAAGTTATTAAAATTAGGAATTTTTATTACTCTTGCCTAGTATTATAATATATTCCACTGAAAGTAACTGTGTTTTGTGTTTATTTGTGTACCTATTTCTATCAATACGAAAAAGGAGATAAGAGTACCGCTTATTTTATAAATAATGCAATTACGGCTTCAAAAAAATGATTATTTAATTCCAAATGAATAACTTAGCACTTCATTATGTTAAGATTTTAGAGATTGCACGTTTTAACCGACCTTTTGAGTTATCCAACCAAGGTTCGGTCCCATTAGGGTCGGTTAAGAGGGGGTCTACTGTATCGTTTGGTTAGTACTTAGGCCTAGGTTAACCATACCTAACTAACCAAATGATAATATAGAATGAAATGGGCTAATTGATAAGGCTATCGAATAATATTTCATTCGGTTGTTTAAGACAACAGATAACTTACGGAAGTGTACCCTATGCCTACACAAAGTAAGATGCACCAAGCTAAAATTGTCCTATTTTTAAAAGTTGAGCCTAGGCCACCATAACTGAATAACTTAGAAGGGTTGCACTTTAGTTTACGTCCTACATTTAAGTTACTTTTATAGCCTAAATTAACTAGGCTACCAGCTGATTCTTAGGCTAGGCCCTAAATAAAATGAAACTGTTCTAAACTAAACCTAACCTTAACCAAACTTCATTAAGTTATGGGAGTAAAGGTAAGACGTAAACTTAAGTGCAGCCATAAAAATTAAATAGAATAATTTAATAAATCATACATTACCACGCTTATAGAAGCCAAATTCTATAACCTTTCACTCGCTTGGGTAGGCTATGTTAGCACCATTTTATCAAGCCTACGTGAATAACCGCTCCCATTTTAGAAGCCATCACACTACACTAAAGAAAGAGTTGATAAATCCTTATGTTATTATGGAGACCAATGCGGCATAAATATCAACGAATGGACAAAACCACTGTACTCTTAACAAGATTTTAAAAACTAACAAATTGTACCGAGCCGTCGATAAATAAATTAATATTGTTCAATAATATAACCTCGCTAATCTACTGTGCTGAGGTAGTAATAGCAATAGCGTAAAAAGCGTAGCCACTAGCCAAGCCGGAGTTGAATGAGAATGAGCATTGAGCAATCCAATGAGATAGAGAAGAGAAGAATTAGGAATATAATATAACTGGAACTGGACTCGGGACTGAAGTCACTACTCACAACCATTGAAATATACCTCGCCTTGATTATAACAGGTGTCACTACTTTATACATTAGAGAAAAACGTGCCCCACTGTTTTTGCTGGTTTGTTTTCGGTGTTTCGTGTTGTTAGGTTGGCCGTGTGATCGGTCGGTGGGGTCGGAAATCGGTGTCCCAGGTCCAGGTCTTACCATGAGTACTACCAAAGATAAAACATACTCCCTTAGTAGATTTCTCATCCTTATGGAACAGCTGAAGACAATTTTATTGTTAGTTCATGTACGGTTTATGTAGAGGTCGTGTTTTGTTTACAATTTGTTTCCCGTTATTACAGCCATTTAAAACCTCGTTTAACCAAATAATACGATCTAATCATAAACAATAACTTGTCCCCTAGTTATATAACCAAACAGTAAAGCACAAATCAAGAATTTAACCCTAAAATAATGGAAACAAAGTTTCATCGACACTAGCACCTTTGTGTCACGTACATGAACTAGACACGAAAAGTTCTTTTCGTCTATGGAAAAACGTGCTTCAAAATTTACAATGGGATGAGAAGTCGCGAGCCTTTCAAGACCGGAAAATGCCGCGCTTCTGCGCATGCGCTAGTAACTGGTGGCGTAGCAGCAGCTATTTCAGAAAGTCACGGTCACTAACCACTAACTAGCGTCGTTGTCGTAATATTTATCTTGACTGCACTGCAACTGCAACTAGTTCCTCATAATTATTATTCATATAGTTTATTATTCTTTATGTTATGATCGAGTTATGTCTGAGTTGAAGTTGGGGTTAATGTTATTGATAGATTTTTATTGCTGCTGTGTTGCGGAGGTCATTTATTATCGATGATGTGCTCCTTCTTCAATGCGAAGATTCTGAGAAATACGAGTAATATGGAAGACATCAATAACACTGGAGTACTTTGTAGTTTATGTGGAAAATTTTATTTTTAGTTTATGGACGAGAAGTACAGAAGGATTCCAATTAATAAGCCAGCTATGTTCAACAAGGCAAAGCCAATAAAATAATTTGTTTTATTCACTAGCGCTTTTGAATGGAAAACTTGTTTCTGAAAGCGCTAGTGAATAAAATAAATTATTATGTATTAGCGTTGTTGAACATTTACATTTTGTTATACATTTCATATTTCATTGTAAGCAAGATGCCAATAATTCTCAAAAAGCTTAGACCATTAAAAATGAAATGAGAATTGGGATCTTCTCTTTTGGAAAACATGTTTGGGTACAATTGAAGATAGATGAATAGATGATAACGGTAACGTAGCCCACCCAAGTTACTTAAAATTTATTTTATAAAATAAAGGAGGTGCCAGAGGTTACAGTAACACATAAGTAAAGTAACACATACATAAACATAATCTGTAAAATTCTTCATTCAGTTACAGTAATTAAATGGTTTGGAGTTAAGCGCGGGAGAACCGTTCCAGTTTCAAGTAGATTGTTGCAAGAGTTGCAGTGAAGATACTAGTGTGATTTTCTGAAACAGCTGCAGCTGCTACAAGTGCTACGAATAACGCTTACTTGCGCATGCGCAGACGCGCGGCATTTTCCGGTCTTGAAAGGCTCGCGAGAAGCCTACTTGTGTTGGTTAGTCTATGCTACCAAAGATAAAAGGTATTTACTCAGGGGAGGTATAGAAGAGGCTACGATGACAGCTGAGGGCTTCTTATTAGCTGAGGGAACGCCATTACCGTAACAAAACGGTCGATAGCCATCGGCTTCGGTGGTCTAATGGTTAGCGTGCCGGGCTGATATACTGCAGGTCCCGGGTTCGAATCCCGCCGGTGGCATTAACTTTTGTCCAAGATTTTTTATTTTCAGCAAGTTTGGTTGGTTTGGTTTGGTTATTACAGTTTAATTTCATTATTAAGTCATTATAAAATTTTAATTGAGCAATTTCTAGTTTTATTTTATAAACAGAATTATTTTTCCGATTACTATAAACTTTTGTTATATTATTTCTTTATCAGCAAGTTTGGTTAGTTCGGTTAGGTTATGATAGTTTAATTTTGTAATTAAAAATTAATATAATTGAATTTTAGGCATTTATAATTTTATTTTATGAACAGAAC